TGCCCTCCTCCGCAGTGCGCGCGGGAAGGGGTCTTTCTGGCAAACAGAGAGCGTTAATATACTATTCAGCCGTGTTGGTGAGGATAGGATCTTGAGACTCAGAAAAAAATCATAATGAATCTTTGAAATCTTTAGAATTTATTCCACGACTCCCTGTAGGGATTTCAGATAATGAAAGGGATGGTGTTGACGGCGGGCGGAAACCCAAGCATCGAGCCCCTGACAATGTCGCCCCTTCCTGTTTTATCTTTGGTCTCATGGTGGCAGAGCCAATAGGACAGGAACCCTCTTGCCCCAGGAATGGCCCATTCCATCGTCAGGGCAAGCCGACCTGTTTCCGCAGCATTTATCTGTCAGCAGGAGACCATTACGCGAGCACAAACTCACATTGTACAGCGTTATCAGTTAATTACGATCCTTGGGATGGGTGCCAGCCAATGGGCTGCCAGTCTGCTGACCACCACGCAGGGATATAACTCCACACCCCAATTCAAGGAGGTGAGGCGAGAGTGAGTAGGACCGGAAGTGTGTGGCCAGGGCCGTTCTCCCTCGCCCGAGACCATGGAGCGCGGGCCTGATCGACAGTGCTCCCGGGATGCTCAGGTTGGGCTCACTGTCTAGGCCGGGCCCGCCCTTGTCCTCATGGACCGTCAATGGATACACTTTCCAGCCTGGTCCCCCACAGCGCTGACCCCGGGTGGAAGAGAAACAAGCTTGGAGTGTGATTCAGACGGTACCCCGAGGCGTCCTCTTCGTCCTGGGCTGGTGGTAAGAAGTGGCTGTGTACCTTGGGTACTTCCCAACGTGCCATTGTCACCCAGAAACTTGGGTGCAGGGACTGTGGGTGAAGGGAGGGACAGGGATGGCAGAACAAGACAGTTAGTGTCCCACATTCACTGGACTTAGGGAGCATGTGGCAGACTCTTCAAAAATTCCTGGTTATTTTTGAATAACCCGAGGATATTTTTCCATTGATTTTCAGATAAAGTGGGAGGGAGGGGAGGAGGAGGAGAGAGAGAAACATTAATGTGAGAGAGACACATCAACTGGTTGCCTCCCGTACAACCCCAACCAGGGCCAGGGATCAAACTGCAACGGAGGTACGTGCCCTTGACCAGAATCGAACCCAAGACTCTTTGGTCCGCGGACTGACGCTCTAACTGCTGAGCCAAAGCGGCCAGGGCGGGTCTTATCTTTTAATGGTGAAGCCATCAAGTCCTCAGTCCCCCTGGGGCCCACATTATGTCCACCAGCTCCTACTAAGTTGCCTGGCATGAAAGATGATAAAATAACTGCTTCTTATTGTTGGGCTGTAAGCATCACACCACAGGAAGGGGACTCAAGGACCCAGCAGACTCTGCTTGCTACTGCCTTTCGTGAGCAGAAATGACTGGTGTCAGGGGAGGCTGCCTCAAGAGGGGGAAGACACACACCAAGACTAGACTCTGATAATGGTGGAGATTTTCACCAGACATGTGGCCGGGGGCGCTGTGCTGGGGTCGCTGCTTAGAGCAGAGCAAGACTGCCCAGTGACCCTCGAGATCCAGGTGCAGGCATTAGGACAGCTCATTCTCAGGACTCAGACTGGGATGGGAAAGATGGGTGGTTAGTGCGGACCTGTGCCCTACAATCCATCATTCGGTTGGAGCTTTTTGTACCCAGAGAAACAGGTCTGGAGAACAGAGTGGGCAGGACTATGTTCGGATACGTTTTCCTAGGTCTGTGACTGCTGGAAACCGCTCCCCAGGAAAAATTCGGGGAAGGGTGTGGACACAGAAGCCTGGGTCTCTACCATCTTCCAAACCCTTCTGGTTTGCCTTCAGATTCCCTAAGAAAGAGCTTGAACTTGGGGAGAGAGGGAGGAGGAAAAGGGAAGAAACATGTATACAGAGATTTCGGAGTTGGATAAGTAAAAGTCCACAGATGGCATGCTTGGCTAGTTACTCGCTGTGTGACCTTGGGCGGGTCACTTCACCACACAGCGAAGTTCACAAACTTCTTAACTGTAAAGTCTGATGATGGTTCTCAATGAGCCCTGAGTCCTCCATCCTGTAAGGTTCTGTGCATGTAATAATCTGCTTAAGGGAGTTTGTCACGAAACCAAAGTGAGCTGCTGTCCCCTTACTCTCTCTGCAGTTTCTGTGTCTAACACCTGTGGTCCCGTGTCCTTGTGGCTGGCTTGCCCAGCTGGGGGTGCCAGTACTAGGACATAGGACAGTGAAGGGGTGGCTTAGAGCTTGTGGTTGAGGGTGGGTTACCAATAGCCCCTGCTCTAGATGAGCAGCAGAGATATGAAGTGATGATCAGTTGAATGAAGTTCGAGTTTGAAGGAACCCAAGAGCCTTGCCCATCCCGTTCTACCCCCTGTACCATCTTGGTTTTCTGGAGAAGAGATGACTTTGGCAAGGTCACGTGGATTCAGGGGCCTCTGCACACCGCCACCCTGCTGCCTCTCCAGGTAGCGGCGTGGAAACTGACCCTGGCTTTGGGAAGGAGTCTAATCCCCCGTAAGCTGGCTGCAGACAGTGGGAGAAAGACTGGTCCCATAAACACTGTAACCTGGCCATGTTTGCCCGGGACTGCCAGGCTGGACGGCATCCCCAGGGTGTCCCTGCCAGGCCCTCATCTCCCCTGTCACAGAGTCTGCAGGCTCAAGCTTGCCAGGGAGGCAAAGGAAAAAGAACTCTGCCCCGAAGCTGAGGAGGCTGGACAGGCACAGCGGAGGAGGACAGTCTGAGGAGGACTGGGTTTCAGAGACCTCATTCTGGCCCTGGAGGATAATTAGCCAATGCCCCGAAGCGAAGAGCACAGACAGTGACGGTGTGCAGGCGTTGGCCTAGCTTGTGAAGGAACACAGACCTCCCAGTTTCCCTCATTTGCCCCCAGTGGCTTTGCATCCACGGCTCTGGGCTGTGAAGTTTTCGTTTCCTGCTCTACCAAGTGTGCTGCCTCCAGTTAAAAAGGGCGCACCCATACAAAGCAAGGAGTCCACAGATCCATGCAGCCTGTCAGGTCCACGCCTTTCCGGGCAGCAGGCTCTGGCACCCTACTCCAAACTGCTCCAGTTTACCAGTTCATTCAACACAATATTTATCAAGCGACTGCTATGTGGAGATTCTCCAGTGAACAAAAGCAGAGATGGCCCTTGCCTTCGCGGAGTTTACAATCTAATGTGTGTGTGGGGTACACGTAATTGCAAACTGATAAAGTACCTGAAGCAAAGTGAATAGCAGGGGATTCTGGTGCGGTCTGGAAGGTGGGGCGTTCTAGGTGGCGGACACAAGGATTGAGGGGAGCATGGCGTGGTGGAGGAAGAGTGCAGAGGGACACACATGTCATGTGGCACCTTCCTTGCAGGCCACAGGAAGGACTGGGGCCTCTTTCTGAACTGCAACAAGGGCACATCGGACATACGTTTTACAACGCGCTCCCCAGCTGCCTTGTGCTTGGAGAAGGGATTTCCGGGGACAGAGAAGATGCACAGAAACCATACTGAGGTTTTGGCAAGATATGGTGGTTGCGTAGAAGCTCAAGGAAAGTGTCTCTGCACCCTTTCCTTCTCTAATGTGACTAAGTACTTATGTGGTTAAAAAAAAAAAAAAACCGGGGCTGCTGGGGTTCTGCTGACAGAGCAGACATCTTCATCCATCTCTCTGTGAGATACCTGCCTGAGCCCGTGCGCGGAGAATCCCGCGTTCCTCCACTTCAGCACTTATGAAAAATCTCAGCTGTGTCCCAGCCTGCACGCGCTTTCATTTATCCAAGTCAAGTATCATCTGCAGGCTTGCTGCCCGCTCCTCAGCCCCTCCCAGCAAGCGGCTGGCCCCTCCTGGGGTTTCTCACAACCCTCCTGCTTTTATTCCTGAAGTGCTTGAGCACTGCCTGGAGTTACACTCCATTTAGACGTTATTTTGATGATAAAATTATGTCTTCCCCTCTACGCTCATTGTCTTCTGTAGAATATAGGAGAATAAGGTGGTGGTCTCTCCTGAGGGCTTTTTGTCCCCTTTTAAATAATTCTATACCTACCTCTCTCCCCACACTCATTTGAATCATCAAATTGATTATTATCCCTGTGGCTGGCACATCTCAAAAGATGACAAGCCCCAGAAGAAGAATTGGGGCATGACTTATAGCTTGCTGTGGTACCGTGGCAGCCCATAACATTTGGGTTCACGGAGGGAGCAGCAGACAGGAATGCAGGTGTGTTCGTAGCTGGGGATTCAGGTGTGTATGTTGAAGTGTCTCCTTGTGTGCCTCAAAGTGGAGGTGGCAGGTAGGTTGGTTGTTTGAACCACTATTGTATTTTCCTAAGCGAACAGAAATTTATTTGCCTGTGTCTGAGTCCTGGGTACATTTCCGAGAGTTGCCAATGAAGAGAGCATCATTTTATACATCTAGAGAGCATTTGATCGATGCATACCCTGCATCTAGCCATATGAAAGTGGTTCAGAACCAACTGGCCCAGGTGAGGAGAGCTGGGCAGGGAGTTGTTTCTCTCCTGCTCTGTCTCGCTGTGCCTCACCTGCTGGCCTGACCCTTTGACTTCTGCACTCGGAACACAGGATTTGAGGCTGGCCGCTTCTCCTTGGTGTGAGAGTGGAGAAATGTGACTCATTTTTAATCTGGAAAACAGACCCATTCCAAAAGGCTGAGAGGTGAGTTTGCCAGACCTGCCAGTTAAAAAGATAGGATGGAGGGTATATAAGCAGCAAATCTTTCAATGCCCCCCAGTCCCTCGAGCCAGTTGGACAAAAACTGTTTTCCTTTAATGGTGAGAGGGCAGGCCTTGTGGCTCTGCAGCCCGGTCCTCCAGCTCCTCAGGAGGTGGGGACCTCGCTCGAGCGTCTGATTCCATTGAAGTCTCTCTGGCTCACCCCCCTCCCCCCACCCCAGCTTGATTCTGTCACTTTAAGTCCAGCCCCTGAGAGATAGCCAATGGGAGCCAAACCATACATCAGTCTCCCAGCCTTAAAGCTACAGTAGGGTTAGTGGGCTCCAAGTCTCTGGTGCCCGAGCGAGCCTCCTCCACGGCTTCCTGTCCCCTCTGCCCGCTCGGAGTGTGTGCAGGAGTGGGAGCGCGGGGCTGTGCGCGCACCGCTCTCCGCCTCCGCCTCGGCCGGCCACGGCGCTTCCTCCCGCCCACCGTGCCGGCCCGGCCCGGACTCGCACCTCGCCCGTGCCCTTCACTCGCTCTTCCGCGTGATTTCCCCGCCGTCTTTCTCTACCAACTGGGAATGCTAAAACGGGCCTGATGGACGTGTCAGAACTCTGCATCCCGGACCCCCTCGGCTACCACAACCAGTAGGTGCTCGCTCCTCCGTGGTCGGTCGGTCTGTCCTGCCAGTCGGGATGTCTCTGTCCCGGGTGTCGCAGTTCTCCTAGGCATTCTCGAAGTGGCCAGGATGCCGGGGGCACTTGGGGAATGTCGGAGGGGAAAAGCCTCACACTTCCTGGGTTTCCTTCTTGGGGGTGACCTGCACCTAACTTTTCCAGCACCCTCGCCCCCTTTACAAACTCTGACTTTCAGAGCAGCGCCTTCTCATTCACTCTTCCTCTCACGGAGAGAAAATATTTGCGTTTCTGTGGAATGGGGAGGAGCAAGCCCAGAACAGGTGCAGGAAAGTCGCAGAGATGCCCTGTCCTGTCTGAGAAAGCCTCTCCGCTGGCGCGTTGACTTTAACATTCATTTCCACACTGGGGATCGAAAATGATCAGCAAGGAGGCGAAATCGAGGTGGTGTGCGGGCTTGGAAACTGCAGGCGGCCCGCGCTACCTCGGCCCGCGGTCTGGGTGAGGAGCCCCGAGGGCGCGGACGCTGCGCGATTCCTAGAGCCAAGGCACTCCAGGGGTGCGGGTGGCACGGCCCGGGACGCACTGCGCCCCGTACGCCCTGAGAGGGGAGCCCGCATCCCGCCAGGAGTCGGGACACTGGCCGGCGCTGCAGCGCAGGCAAAGTTGGTTCCGGGCTTTGGAGGAGGCTGCGCGGGGCAGAGCAGGCAGGCGAGATTTCCGTGCCCCGAGGCCTCTTTCTCACCTGGCGGGAATCTGGGGTGGTCCGAGAGAGGCGTGGGTGTAGTTGGTGGCCAGGGCTGCGGAACTGGACTCCCAGGAACGCGCGTTCCCGGGCTTGGGCAGCGCGCCGTTTGCGCAGAGTGGGGAAGTGGGGAACTGATCGCACGTCAACCCTGAGCGGGGGCGGGGGTTGCGGGGCTGCCCGGGAGCATCCAACCCTGGGCTCCCAGAGGCCAGGCTCTGGCCACCCGCGGTTTCCTCCCCAAGGCCCCCGGAGTTCAAGCCCCACCTGCCGGGGTACCTGCGCGGGTCTCCCCTCTGGCGCTCCGCGTCCCGCTGCTTCGGGGCTGGGTGTCCCGGCGGCTGGATGTGGGAGCACGCAGTGTGGTCCTTCGGAATGTTTAAAAAATAATAATAAAATGAAAACTCTAGGTTCTCGAGGACCTGCTCAACTTTGTGCTCTTCCCCTTTTTCCTGAAGCTAACTAAACTATCAAAGTCACTGCTCGCTCTGCCATCCTTTCTTTTTTGTACTCCTCCTCCCAAGAACCAGTACTTCCCTAAAATAAATACTCTGGATAATAAATGTAGGGTTCCAGGAAGTGTGTTTAAGGGCCCCCCTCGCTGCACAGACTACCCCAACCCCTGGTGAACCATGCGTGAGAGAGGAAGCAACTTCCCAGCGGCATCTCACGTCAGTGGCCAGACTGCCCCAGCCTCCACGCTGACCTTTTCGGTTCTAGTTTTAGGAGCTCCCTGGGTGCGGGTCCTTTAGGTGCCGCCAGAATTTAGACAAGAGTGTCAGAAGGCGGTGAATGGGTTGGGAGATGAGGGGAATACTTAATTATAATGGATTCAGATTTCCATCAGTTTGAAAAGTGGCTTTTCATTCTGTTTAAAGGTTACACTGATCCTAGCTTGTATGGCTGGTGGTATGGGGGTTGGGTAGTGCCATAAGATGCTCCCTCCTAAAGGCTTGCTGGTGGGAGCCTGAAAGAAACCTTGGGGCGGGTAGGTGAGGCTGTGAACAATGTCTGACGCTTGCGGGGCATTTTCTCCCATAAAACTACCAAGTGCGACAAATATTTGATATTTAAATTATTTAGACTCCCTCACTCCAGAGGTGACTTCTTTAATTGAACTCGAAATATCTGTATATGTGTCCCTGGCTCAAGTCACAGACAATAAATATGAAAATTCGAATGGGGGGGTACATCCTCTGACTATTTGAAAGCAAGGAGAGGGGAAATGGAGGGTTTAACAGCTGGGTAATTCATCGAGTTGACGGCAACCCTGGCTTGAGTTTGAAGAGAAATATGGGTAAAGAGGGAATGTCAGGGGAGCAGCGAAGAGAAATCAGGGGGCTGAGGTCCCGGGTGTCTGGGAAGGGGTTGGCGTGGGCATCATTAATGAAGTAAGTCTGGCCATAGTTTGGATTCCCTACCCTTCCTGGTTTCTCTGCAAAGAATTAGCTTTGCAAGCTCCATAGGGTGCAAGTAAACCCATAAAAATACCCACTGCTGCCACCGAGGACCTAAACATCCCTGTGCGATGCCCAACGCCTGGGTGAGCTGGCCCCATGTACAGGTGTGTGCCTCCTGGTGAGGTTTTGTCTGCTGTAATACTGGGGTACAAATCTCCAAGGACAAGCCTGCGGAGGTCAGCGGCTGGTGTAAGGGGAGGCAGCGTTCTGACCCCAACCCCCGTGCCTCGTGACAAGTAGCTCTAGAGCCATGGGCTGCAAAATAACAAAACAGGACAGCGTTTTTTGGTTTGTCAGAAGGACAGTAGGACAAATCCATTCATTCCAGTGCTGATGTTTCTCAGGGAACATATACATAAGTGCGTTCGTGTGCTCTGTACACACAATTTCTACCCATGTGGCTAAATCAACGCTCCTGGACTTGAGAAAACCCACGGGCGCGGGGACCACGGTTCAGCCCTCCTCACCTGCTAACACGCAGAGAGCAATTTTTTAATGCTTTAGTGTTGCCCTCACTTCCCCAGGTGAGAAATTCCCCCCCCCTCTCTCTCTCTCTCTCTCTCTCACACACACACACACACACACGTACCTTCATACCTTTCTATCTTTCATTTTCATTTTCCTGTAGCCAGTCCTGTAGGTGACTCCATTACCATTTCTAATCAATATTTTATGTACATATATAATCAGCTGGAGTGGGAGTGAGTACGCTGGCCTGTATGTGCCTGTGTATAAATGTGCCTGTGGCCCACCCAGCGGGAGACCCTCGGCATAAAAACCCGGGGCGGGGGGGGGGGGGGCTGCCAGTGACCACTTTGTTACTATTAAAGAAACAAAGAACAAATTGTCCCGAAGGTAAAATATGTGGCTTCACACGTAGGAAAAATGCCACATGGTAATTCAGAATCAGTGACCCAGAGAAAAACAAAGGGGGAAATTAATTTTTAATGGTACATTTAAAAATAAATCAGAGTGAGTACATTAGTCTTGGTTTTCCAAGGGAGGGGCTCTAGGAAATAAACCTCTGTGTCTGCCACCCTCTGGAAATGCAGGCTGCCACAGAAGGGGCTGGGGTGACAGGAGGCTGGACTTGTTCAGGCCCAAGGGTGATAAACTAGGAGGAAACAGTAGACCAATGGGGAAGGGCCCAGTCCCGGAGAAGGCCCTTTCCAGCTCAGTGAGATCCTGACATCGACTGGAAATTTCCTCCCGGGCTTATTATTTCCCCAGTTCCCTTCATTTTAGAAACTAGTAATTGGGACATATGAAAAGATGTTTCATACACAAAGATGTACACACACACACACACACACACACACACAACCTGGCCCACCAATAAATATCCCCTTTAGTCTATAAAAGAGGGACGGAGGGGACTTCTCGGGGAAAGCACTGTGAAGGAAGTGGCTGGGAGAGACTTCATGTCACAACCCTGCCTTCTCAGAGTGCCCCCCGCCCTAGCTCCGGGGGCCCTTGTAACTTGGTTTCGATTCATGTTTCTAATAACTGGACATTTTGCCAAATGGTTTTCAAAGATAATCTAAACTCACTGAAAAAGTTCATCTTCTTCCTCGGTCCTCTGCAAAATGCCTTGTTTCTTTGGACCGCTTGGAACTGGAGAGATCTGTGCAGGTCTTCGCAGGCCGGAGGAAAGGCGGTGCGGGACAGAGACATTGAGAACACGCGTGCGTGGGGGGGAGCGAGGACGCTGGCTGTGTGAATGGGCAGGACGCAAAGGAGAGAGCATTCGAAGACAGAGACAAGAGGCAGGATGCTTTTGAGCGGTCTGCGGTGCCCTTCTCTAGAACTTGTCTGCTTTAGTGGCTTCCTCGACATGATTCAGATTATTTGTGGTACTAATTTAAGGGGAAGGGACAGCAAAGATTTAGACCATCCTCTATTTCTTCCAAGTGAAGTCTAACCCACACTCTGAACACACCTGCTAACGCCTTCCCACACCTACGGGTCGTCCTGGGGCTCTTCCCATCGCTCCTGCAAGTGAGGCCCTCCATGTGCTGGCCCAGCTTGACCAGGAGGTGCGCCCGGAATTAGCCAGAACTCTCTACAGCTCTGCTGGGAGCTTCTGTCTTAGAGTCTGGTGACTCTTGATCAAATGTCGCTGTGGGGACCCCAGCACAGCTTAATGTTCAATCTTTGGTGTCCCTCATAGGCGCTTAGTTCCTAGAGGGTGTGTGGGCCAGGAAGGGGCTTCAGCTAGAGGGTCCATGGACCATGCCGGGAAGCTGAGAAAGGTGGAACTTGGGGGTGTGCTGGAACCATACAAATCTGAGCCCACATCCTGCCTGTTTGCCCTTGAGGCCATTTGCTGGTTTCTAGGGATAAATCAAAGACCTTAAGTATTAGTGACCGCTGACTGGGCTTCATCTCTGGTGAGTCCCCCTTTCTTAGTCCCAGCAGTCTCAGACCTCCGGGAACATACATGTGGTCTTCTTCAGAGATGGGCCCATAGGCTTCCTCTGGTCCCGGGGTCCCCTGGCTTGGCTGGTGTGGCCTGGTCCCTGTGCAGGGAGGTGGTGGTATTTATAATTGCAAATGTAATTAGCAGACCAGCTCTGGGGGACTGGGATGCTCAACTTCTCTGCACATCACAATGACCCTGCGATGGCCGGCAGGGCAGATTAACTGTCACCGGGCCAGCCTGCCTCCTGCCCCTGGTGAGGCCACTGACCTTTCACTGACCGTGCAGAGCTGTCCTGGGTAAGGGTTGCGGCCAGACCCCCTCCTCAGAGGGGATGCCAGGGCAGTGTCTGAGAGAGCTGAGTAGTTGGGGAGTTATTTCTTTCCTA